GTTTCCATACTAAGAGAAATATTCTTTGATGGTTATCAGGGGTAGGAAGGAGAGGAGAATAATTCAATGGCTGGAAGAATAAACACATGTTAGCTCAGATGACGGAGAGGGCAATATACAAGAAGGGACAGAACAATACACAAGAAGGAGGAGGATAGCAGACAGACGATAGGGGAAGACAGAGGGAGGTATGCATGGGCTAAAGGGGACAGTGGTGAACAGTGATATATATACAACCTTGGGACAACAGTGTTCTGTGCGTAGATACATGGATTGAAACAAGGCTGAATGGATAAGGAAGGAAGAGTGGGATATATATATATATATCACAAATTTTAAGAGTTTGAAAGAGGATATTTGTACATGAGTATTTATCTTTCATTCAAACACAACTAGAAATGTGGTAGAGGATACAGCAAGGAAAATTATGAAAACTTCCTAGATATTATCAAATATCTTAAGATAATAAGTTGTTGGACCTGGGGACTCAGGACCATAGTGTCAGGGAACACCAGGATCGATTAGCATAACATAGTCCACAAAGACAATGTTCTACATCCTGTTTGGGTGAGTAGCATCTGGAACCTTGAAAGCTCATGAACGGCCATCTAAAGTATAGCCATTGGTCTCTCCATGTGTGGAAGAAAGAAGAGTGATAAGAATTGAAGAGGCTTGGAATCAGTTAGTCTAATGGGCTAATGGGACATGTGAACATCAGTCTCTACAACTCTGAGATCAGAAGAACTAGATGGCACCTGGCTACCACCACCAACTTCCCTGAAAGTGCTCACATTCAAAGGTTCCGGATAGCATGGGAGAAAATGTGGGCCAAAACTCTAAATTATTTAAACAAACAAACAAAAGGGTTTACTGGTCAGAGAGACTGGAGGAACTTGAGACTGTGGCACTCCACCACCCTTCAGGTCTGGAAAGGAACTCACCCTCATAGCCCAACTTATAGTCAAGTAAGTGTGGCGCTGTGGGCTAATGCGTCAGACTGCAAAGTCATTTAAACTGCAAGGTTGGTGGTTCAAGCTCACCAGCTGCTCCTCAGAAACCCTATACAGGGTCACTATGGGTCGGAACCGACTT